AAGTCAGGTTATGTTCAAGTCAATAATTTGCGGGTTACAATCAAATTGGATTATTTCCAAGTCGGGTCATATTCGGGTTTAACTAACTATAAATTGATAATTATCATTTTTATCAATCTAATTACTTCCTTTGACTATAATATATATGGCAACATACTAGGTAACTATAGTTTATAATTTAGGAAGATAATTATCTCCTTTGACCATAAAACAAATATATACTATATTTAACTCTTAAATTTGGGGATGATGCTCTTTTCTTTTGCTGGCCTGGACCGACTTGGTCTCCCTAGACAAAATGCTTTGATTAACAATAATAAGGTGGTCTAAATTGAATTTAAGGTGATTTGAAATCGGGCCAGGAACAATTTGGGTTGAATTTAGGTCGGGTCAATAACAAGTCGTGTTGATTTCGAGTCGGGTTAGTAATAGATCAGGTTAAATTTTTGGGGTCGGGTTAGTAATAGGTCGTGTAAAATTCGGATCGAGTCAATAACAATTTGGGTTGAATCTAGGTCAGGTCAATAATAAGTCGAGTTGATTTCGGGTCGAGTTTGTAATAATTCGGGTTAAATTCGGGTTTTGACGGGTTAAAACGAGTTTGAGTCACCATTTTTTCGGGTTTAGATGGGTCGGTTAATAATCGGGTCCGGGCCCGTATTTCGGGTCGGGTTAGCTTTTGACAACTCTATTTGTGTGTTTGTATGTTTGGGTATTTCGGGTCGGGTTAGCTTTTGACAGCTCTAATTGTGTGTTTGTATGTTTGTTTGACCCTGTCTTTACCTTGACCCTACAACGACCCATTTCTAATGGCGAGTAGTGGGAAAAGTAGAGTGAAGCTCTTTTCAGGTGATGAAGCATATTCATGATGGACTTGAGTGAAGGGCGATTCATTTCATAAGTACATGATGCTTTTTATTTTTATTATTATTATTATTATTATTATTATTATTATTATTATTATTATTACAACTAACGCAAAGGTTTTGGTATTACTCGGTTTTAATAAGGGCTTACAATGGTTCCAAGTTGTAGGTTGACTTTGTTTGACTATGTTTGATTTTGTTTGACTTTGGTTTTACTTTACTTTCGATGAGTTTTGACTTGAAAGTTGACTAGCTTTAAATGGTTTTTAAATATAGTCTTCCGTTATGTGCCTTTGATATTTTGTCTTAGCTGTTTTCACGGTGGCGGTAATGTTTTAGATTTTCCTAATTCGTATTTTTAAAAAGAGTAAAACATGTATTTTAAAGGTATGGAATTTCTAGGATGTTACATTCTCAATGTATGATTATTCTTGAGGATATCCTAATGGATCTATGGGTTGTATTATTGGAGAATTTGAATTGTGTAACTATTACGAGGAAGGTTCCGGCTCTAGCAGCTTAAAGACTAGTAGTCTTCACTAGTTCATTTTGCTTTGTTTATGTTTTCTAGCCTTTTATTTTCTCATTACTTTATTTTGTTTTAATTTGTTGTGTGTTGCTTAGTTTTGAGGTTTCTCCTCTTTTTTACACGAACAAAATGTTATTATAAGCCTAATATACATGAAAGTTTTTGCAATATTATGTATCATTTAATTGTTTTTAAAGTATTTTATAAAAAGAGACTAAATCCAATTCAGGTAGGGAAGTCTCATTTCTTTGCAAATTTTGATTAAATTCTTGACAAAAAGTAACATGTATTGACAATAATTGTATCACTTTTTTTTCTTCAAAAATAAAATAAAATTGGAATTTATCTTATCGTAATCTTCTATTACATACTTCGTTATTCTAAAATATTTTTCCTAAACATTTATAATAAATGAATTGATGTTGAGATTTTGTTAGATTTTTAATGTATTATACATATCCATTAATAAAATAACAATGTTATCCTAAATATATAAAACAAAAACTTGAATGTCTTCGTTAAGTGCAATTACTAGATATAGTATTGGATCAAATTACATATGGAGATAATTAGTTCATTCTCTTGGGTCGTCATTATCTGTTGTTAGACATGATCAATGATCTTTAGGTTAGTCATATAATTCAAAACCCAATAAAATAGATCCTATAAGGTCACACTTTGTGATGATGGATTGAACAAAAGAAAAAGTCTCATTAGTGGGCCCTTCTAAGGGGCCATATGGAGTATAGAAAGAGGTTTTGGGTTTGATATTGGACTCTACTTATATATAATTAGAGTAGCCTAGGTTAATTAGTTAGTTGATTCACCAAGCAATAAAAAAACCCTAACCCTAATGTTTCTCTCTCTCACCCCTCCATGTGTTGACGTGTGTATGGTGTTCGTAGTTGGTGGTTTCTCACTCCATCTTCTCCATAGAAGGTGGTTCGAAGGTTGTTCATGCCCGATTATCTAGAATTAGTGGAGGTTCAATCCTAGCTCGTTGATTGGGTAACGGAGAACCACTTAGGACTCTTATTCTCCCTCCATCGTAATCAATCATTCGTGGAAATCACGTGTCTAAGGTATGAATTACGTGATTCTTTAATTTAAGTGTTATGCTTGTAGATCCTGATTAGTTGCGGATGAATATGATTCGTGAAAATCCATGTAATTCTTTAATTTATGTATTATGCTTGTAGATCCTGATTAGTTGCGAACGAATATAATTTGTGAAATTATGTAATATAGTACTTAATTCCCTATCAGACTAACATAAAAAGTTGTTTAATTTATTTGTTTACCAAGTGAGTCAATTAAGATTGATAAAAATTATCTTTAGCGAAAAGATTATCTTATAATATCTAAAAACTGATTGATTAAAATTATGTTTTGCGAAAAGAATATCTTATAATGTCTAATTACTTGCTTTTAGTAAGATATAAAGTATATTACCATAATCATCTCAAATTAGTAATATATTTATGCTGATCATTTAAAGATAACGAAATACTCAATAATATTTAGATTTCATTAGATATTAAATTTATATAGAATAAAAAAAATAGATAAATCTTTTAACTTTTTTTGACACAAAATAAATCTTTTAACTTTTTTGACACATAAAGTTGTTTAATATAGTACTTTTCTTTCCCTTTTTTTTATTTATTTTTTGATATATTATTATTATTATTATTATTATTATTATTATTATTATTATTATTATTATTATTATTATTATTATGGAAGCAATGTATGACATTTGATATTGTAGGAGCTTCTGTTATAGAATAGTCCTACATTCTCAAATTTCCCAAAAAAATGTTGTGATTAAATACCTTACAAAGCATAAATTAATGTTGTAAGTTACTACCTTTACTAGATCTTCATCGGTAACCTAGTTCTTTAACATTGATTGTGTCACGAGTGCCTTTCATGTTACATTTAATAACTCATTTCCCACATTTTCCCCTATTCTGGAGCATAAACTTTTTTCTTATTCTTTTTTTTTTCCCCTTTCTTTCTTCTTCCCCTATTTCGTCAACTCCTCTGACCTCTCCCCCATTATTAAAAAGTCCATTTATGAAATTCTCATTATTTCCTTTCTGATCACATCCACCAAATCACTCGTCATTTGAACAACTCTTCAACAACCTTGAACTTCGTTGAGCATCTTGCTCGATGGCAATTCTCCTTGTTGAGATGCTAATCTACTTTGAGCCTACTTCTTTTAAACCAGGTTGGAAAGAGAAGCTCTTGGACCTTCTTAACAATTGTAAAGAGTTTTTGTTTTTGTTTTGTTTTTTTTTTTTTTAATTTTTTTTTTATTTTTAAGAAAGAGTTGGTTGTTCCTTTAATTAACTCTATAATTTTTCCCATTACCATTTTTTACAAAAATAATTTATTCCCACTTACATAATAGTTTACACGTAACAAATCAATTCGAGAATGAGATAACTCAAGTGCCTATAACTCCCTCCTAATTTTAAGAAATCTTGGGATTGTTGAAAATTAGATAATACACCCGGGTGCACCATGCTCATAGTGCACCCGGGTAAACAAAAAAAGGCGGAAAGAACATATAGTGTTTGATAAAGAACATACCAATGTTTGACAAAGAACATACCTTTAATATGTTCTTTGAGTGTGATCAGTGTATTCTTTGAGTAAAATTATATGTTCTTTACATTATAACTTATGTTATTTAACATATGTTGATAAACATTTATGTTTTTTTGGGTTTAATAATACAAAGTATGTTCTTTGAATTTGGCGTGTATGTTCTTTAAGGTCGTAGTGATGCCCAAATTCTACTTTTATTATCATATGTCATATTTAAATTACTTTTATTATCGTATATTCTTTGTGTTTGATTAGTGTGTCATTTAGATATTAACTATATGTACTTTACAATATAAATTATGTTCTTTTAACATATGGTATTTTGAAATTTGATATTGAAATCTTAAATTATTTTTAATTGAAAATAATATTAGAGTAAAAAAAACTAAATTATTATGGAAAGTTGAATTTTTTTTGGAGAGATAGAAAACTAATTTTTGGGGAAATGATATCTTTGGTAAGGATTTTTTAAGAGGTGATCAACATTGACATGACTCGCATCCCGACCCGATCCGGCCCGAAATAGGGTGGGTTTGGGCAAACCTAAAAATGCATTTTTAGTTAAAACTCAAACCGGGTTAGAAAAAAGCCCGAAAACCCGCTACTTTTCTACGGATTTGGGCACGATAAATTAGGATTTGGGCACGATAAATTATGATATGGCCCGGCCCTACTAGATTTTTTATCACCTCTAAATTTTTTCCCTTAATAATGTGTAATTTTTCAGAAAATTTAATTAAGTTTTAATCTCGTTCTTTTTATTATATCTTTATGTTCTTTGGTAATGCATGTTTTTGTCAAATACAAACATGTTCTTTATCAAGTACATGTATGTTCTTTATGAAACACAAGATGTTCTTTCCGCCTTTTTTTATTTATCCGGGTGTATGATGAGCACTGTACACCCGTGTGTATAAACCACGGATTAGGGATTGTGGCTCCCTTTCGAGTTGTTCAAATGGTTCTAATTAAAAAAATCGAAGGAAGTCATACTATTAATCCCGTATTTACAAAGTAAATTAATACTCCATAGAGTATTATTAATTATTATTGTAAAAAAAAAAAAAGATTTAACTGTTTACATTATATGCGTGTCATTAATCTTCCTCTTTTTCTTATGTTTTCACTTTGTTTCCCTCAATGGAAGTTCTCGCTTTAACGCTGCATCCCCTCTGTATTTTTCCCTCTCTCCTCCATTGTAGCGCACTTTGAATTCTCCATTGAAGCGCACTTCTGAGCTTTTTCTCCTTTGAAGAAGCTTTTAAGGTATATTTTTCTTTCTATTTTTGGAATCGTCCATTATTAATTTCACAATCTAGGGTTTAGATTCATGCAATTGCTACGAATTATTGGTTGTATAATTACTGAAGTTTGATAAATTGTAATCATCGATTTTGTTGCTAGTGTAATTCTATGTGTAATTTACGTTGATTTTCATAAGTGTGAAGAAATTTATGCGATCTTTTGAGCCTAATTTGATGATTGAGTCGAATTTGGTTGCTGTTGTGTTGCAGGATTTTGTTTATAACCTTTAATAATGTTAGAGCAGAACAATGAAAATGTTGCTTCTCTCCCTGAGTCGAGGGCGGCCGCCCCGGCTCAGGGACGGGCCTCGAGTAGTGGTAAAAGTGATTCACAAGCCTCAGTCTCAGGTTCAGATGCTTCTGCGCTGAGGAGGTCAACTAGGGGTCAGAATAATTCGAGTCCGGTTAGTCTGAGGAAGTCTCAGAGACTACAAAGGCAGTCGCCACCTGCCACCCCACCCTCTTCTAAGAAGAAGAAAGCTGGGGATCCAAGCCCATTGCGAAGGTCGGTGAGGGAGACTAAGTCTCACTCTTTAATCTCCAAGGAGACGGGGGAGAAGGGTTCACCGTCTTCTAAAGGTTCGAAGAAGCAGACTAAGGGTTCAACTGTGTTAGACTCTTCAAACGAGAAGAATCAGAAGCAAGATAAGACTTTAAAGCAGATTGCACAGGAAGTTAAAGATAGGGGTAAGCAGAATTGCAGTTCTGAAGTTGGTAATAAGAGGAAAAAGAGGCTAGATGCTCGGCGTTACAGAGACATGTTTAAGCCCCTTAAGAAGAGCAAAGTATCAGGTGAGCTATTAATTACTATTGGGCTCCTCATTTGCATTTTTTTTTTTCGTTTTAGTTTTCTATGTACTGTATTTAACAAGTCTGTTGTATTGTTGTTGAGCTTGTTATGCTATATTCGCTATTACTTAAATGCTGTTGCATGATCCTTTTGTAAAATCCTGTAGATTCAGAATCTGATAAAAAGAGCAGGCTGGAAAATTGTGATGACAGTGGAGGTAGCGGTCATGAGAAAATCAAAGAAGAGGATCAAGAGCGTAGTGATGGAGAAGAAATGAATGGAGATTGTGCAAAGGACATAGATGATGATGCTGGAGATTCCAATTCTTGTGAAATCGAAGATGGAGTAATTCTGCTGGCGTCTAGGGGTCATGATGTTGGCTCTCCATCCTCTCCTAGGATTGAGGCTGTGCAAAAATCCGACAAATCTAAAGAAGGTCCAGTGAATGGCTCTGCAATGGAAAATCTTTCCAACCAGAAAATGCAGTTGACTCTGGACAAGCTATCTGACGATGGTGATGGATCTGGATGTAGTGAGAGAGGGATAAGTCTAGGGGCTTCTGCTGTTAGAAGTGAAGGTACAAGCAAATGTGCCATGGATGTTGCTTCCTCAGTATCATCTTCATGCAATTTAAGCATTTTTGCTGAGGACTGTGCCAAATGCTTAAGAAAGCGAAGGTAATGATTTTTTCATTTCGTAGTTGGTGTAAGTCATTAATCCTCACTATAACTTGAGGAATGCATATTGAACTATGTTCAACAGGTACCATGTCTTGCTTCCAGTTAATTGTTGTAATCGTTATTATGTTGTAAATGCCCAGAAAAAATAACCTAATAACTGATTCGAATCAAATAACTTGATGTACAAATGGCAAGAAGTTGAAAGTTTGCTTGTTGACACCACTTTTAATCCTTTGAATTCTTGTCTTTGTTCTTTGCAAAGAGTGGTCATTATCAAAACAAATTCTTTGGTTAGATAGCTTCCCCTTGTTTTTTTGAAGAAAAGATAGCTTCCTATTCTTTTATTTTGAAGATAAGATAGCTTCCCATTCTAGTTGATATAAAAAAATATTATCTTTTCCATTTTTTTATTATCTGTTGTTGTTCATGCATAGCGGGTTCGACTTCGATTAATTTCGTATTTCTTTTTCTACTCCCTCTCTCTCCATCATCTATATATTGCCGCGAGATTTAGACACAAAGATCTCTTTTTTTTTCTTTCTACACTTCAAATTTCTGATTCTGTTTGTCTTGCTTTGTTTTAGTGTCTTTTGAAGGTAAACTTTTGTTTAGAGAGTATGTGGTATGTGATTTGATTTGTGGTATGTTATTTGATTTGTGGTATGGGAACAATGTTGTGGTATTCTACCCGTGTGAGTCAGTGAGTGTTTGTCTAGGCTACAACCCACTAAGTAGTTGTTCTCTTTGCATAAAAAGTAAATGTTCCATGTGTCTCTCTGTGCATCTCAACTTGCCATGCAATAAGCTCTTGCAGATGAAGGTGGACTTTGATAATTTAAGTAGTCAAAACTCCTATGCGTTAATAGTTGTCTAGAACCTATTGAACAAGAATGCAACTCTTGGCCACCTGGTGCACGATTTTGGGCACCTTCAAGCTCAAGTTGCTCAAAGTACATAGATATTTGTTCAGAAATTTCAAAATATGCTTTAGACTCCTATCAAAACAGAAATTTCCCCTCACATGTTAGTGCTCCCATTCTTTTGTCAATCTGTGGACCTGTCATTCCTAGTTTTTTAAAATTAATTACAACATCTGTACAGACTACAGACTGTTCTCTTTCTTGCAACCTATAAAATAAAATTCCTTTTGTTGCAGGCTGGACTATGATTCTCTGGAGGAAGAGCTTTGCTGCTGTCTTTTAAACACTATAAATGACATCGATAATTCTAAGGTTGGTTTTTATCTTTTACTATATTTTAGTTTATGCGCTGTTGGCTTTTTTGATTTACTTTTTCCACCCTGTGGCTGTGGTTCTTCTTCAAGAAGTATTATGTACAATTTACCAACATTTAATACTTTGTATATATTATATGAGGTTCAATTAAGGTATCTTCACTTAAATCATTTTGATTGGCCATCAATGCTACTTCCACTCTACATTTTCTCCTCCATACTTGTGTCTTGATGTTGGGATTTTTGACAAGTGTATGGTTATATGATACTTTAATGAAAAATGAGATACTTAAATAATTATCTTATATCACACGTCCACACAACTGTAGTGAAAAATGTAAAAATAGATGGAAAATAATTGTTAAAAGTATGGGTTTGGTTGCAATTGTGGGAATGGTCACATTGTCTCGGTAATGGAAAGGGTGCGTTGATTGATTCTTGTTGTGAAGCGAATTTTATTTCAAAAGCCATAATAGTTGTTGAGTAGACTATTAGGGGCTTCAAGCCATTATTAGGAGACATGGGAAGTCTTTAATGTCTCTCTGAATAGCAAGCAACTTTTGAGTGAAACTCAAGATGTAACATTCGACGTGGGGTCCGAATGTTTGATTCGGACAATGTCATAGGTTTTTGTAGAACATAGTTGTAATCAATCAATTGAAAAATCTTATAAGTTATGCCCTAATTGAAATGATGTGTTGGTTAATACGAAGACATGAAGAGTGGGATCATGGAGAGTAAGATAGAGGGAGACCGAAACTGACTTGGTTGGAAGTAGTTAGGAAGGATATGAAACAAATGGATTTGCATGAGAATGAGGTATTTGATCGTAAGGGTTGGAGGAGGAAGATTTTTTGTGGATGACTACTGAATAATCACTTTTGGTTCATGTACCCGGACCCCACTTATGGGATTAGGGCTTTGATTGATATGTTTGCACCAAGAAAGGAAAATAAGAATGTGTGCAATATGTGCTCACAATAGGCTTAAAAAAGCTTTTAAATAGATTTAACCATGATGTCAGTCTAAAATGCGTATATACTTCATCCATTTGATAATACATGCACTGTGTTGACACTAACCTTGTTAGCAAAACAACTTTGACTATTAACAAATTTAATTTTTATAATAGAAATTATTTTAATAGTTTATATTTTGAAAAGATACAAATGAGATTAATCTTACAACAATAGTAATAATCGATCAATTGAAAATCTTATAAGATATGCTCCAATTGAAATGATGCGGTCATATATTTTCACCATGAGATGGCAATAAGAATGTGTGCAATATGTGCTCACAATAGGCTTAAAAAAGCATTTCAATATATTCAACAATGATGTCAGTTTAAAATGTGTGTATACTGCATCCGTTTAATAATACATATACTGTTTTGTCTTTTACTCTTGTCAGCGAAACAACTTTGACTATTAATAAATAAAATTTTTAATAATAAAAATTATTTTAATAGTTGATATTTTGAAATTATACTATGAGACTAACCTTACAACAATAAAAATGACATATTTCTTACATATTAAAAAAAAAGTCCAAGTTAGCAAAAAAAATAGCGCAGAGGGTAAATTGGGTTTTTTTGAGAAACGGAGGAAGTATGCATTTGTATGGTAAATTTCATGCATAAAGTCTTTTGAAAAGGATTTTTTTCAGTTTATATTGTAATTCTACACCCATGTCTATTTTTTTTATTTTTTATTTTTAATTTTTTATTGATAAGAATGATCCCAACTATGTTCATTCATCTTGAAATAGTCCATTTTTTGAATTACTAAGAACAGTCCTTACTATATTCAGTCTTTTATGGGAATGGACCCTGGCAATTTGATTTAAACCTATGGCAGATGGCTGATGACACCGATGACACTCAAATGACCTTTATAATTTTGTTCCTTTTTTTTTTTCCCTCACTTGACTTTTATAATAACCATAAACAATGAACAATATGATAGTCAACAACCTCTTTCTTTTGGTTCTTCACCCTATCAGCTACCTCGTGCTACTCCCTCACCCCTGCCTATCAAAACCACAACTAAGATGAGTAAGATCCCAGTCCACCACTCGCCTTACCCTTTCCCAGCGTTCAACCTGATTGGAACCTCCATCGTTCCATCATTTTCGTTCTACTGCCAAATGCCAACCAACCAACCCCCCTTCCCTCCCCCCACCCCCACCCCCACCCCCAAAAAAAACAAAAGCATTGCCCTTTGCAACTGCCTTGAAAACCCTAGCATTACCCAAAATCAATGACCCATGTACTCCACCAGTTCACCTCCAGATAACCAAGTCGCTAAACAAAAATAAGGGATGCTGAAAGGCCTAAAACTGTTGTTTTAATTAAATGAGGTCTGATGGGCTTATTTTTGAGCCACAAGGGCTCTAGTATCACTAATTATACATTAAAATTATGAATGAAAATTTTGGTACAAGTGTACTGTAAATTATAATGTCAATACTATACTAGTGTAATAATTTAATTTATTGAAATTTTGATTTATGAACCAAATTTTCAATACAAGTGTACTGTAAAAATTTGGGATACACATGAACAAGGATTTGTATTGCAACTAATTGATGCTGGCCCTACTGTTTCTTCCCGAGGCTGCTCATTTTTTCTCCTCAACTGCCCTATTGCTACTAAAGCATGGATTCACAATTTTGTCTTCCAAAATTTGCAAGAATCTGGGAATATAGTTGGTTTATTGTTTTAGGTGAAGTTTAATTGTTATTAAAGTAGTTGAATGTGTTTTATTTATGGAAAAAATTAATTGTTGGTGCCGACTATTGTCTTTGTTGCTGGTTTCTTGTTCATAGGAGGTTTAAGAAGGATGCAAAGAAGTGGAAGAGGTGAAGAAAGGGAGTCAATTGTTTGGTTATGTATTGAATTAGGGTAGGTTTAAATGGTAGTTAATCAGTTAAATATTTACAACAATGAAATCAAAACTGTTGAGTCAAAAAGGGGTTCATTAAAATCATGTGAGTATGTGACGACTATCACATGACCCTTTTTTACCTGCTGTAGTACGGCACTTTTTAGTAAGGTCCATTCTTTATTAGTGCACATATAGTTTTGCCCCTTGGGACTGTTTAAAGAAGAGTGATCATAGTTTGGACTGTTGGCATCAATTTCCTTTTTTCCGCCACTTATTTAGTGTAATGAACTTTGGGATTATAGTCTCTACATAGTAATTTTTTAAAACATAGGGGTACATTTCCTACATGGTGGAAATTCTACTTCTGTAATGATCAGATCACATTGCTTTAATTGTGTTTATATGTACTCTGTTTTTCTTTGGCATCTAACGGTATTATTTGGGTTTCGTATTGATCCCTAATTATCTGTTATAACGAATTAGGATAGAAGGCAATGCTGGACTGTTGTTACTACAGAATTTGCTGAGGACCTTGGTCGAGGTGTCAAGCAAAGCGTTTCTAAGCTTGATATTCAGCGGAGTACTTGTGTTACTTGCAAACTTGCAGGAAAACTCTTGTGGGTAACTTTGTCCTGCTTTTTCTCTCTGTCTGCTTTGTCTTTTCCTCTATGCAATCTTCTAATGGATCCTGTTGTGGGTTATTGTAGACTTCAACCTACAATCATATACTCTTAAATCAAAATTGAGGCAATGGCCAATTTCTCATTTATGTAGTTAGGATATTTTATACTAAGGGTTTACTCAAGGTTGCTGCTTCAAATTTTAGTTCTTCCATACATGCACTATTTGATTTGTACTCTTTGGTTCATGCTGTGATTATTTGTTTATTAGGAAGTATTCTCCACTTCTTAGCTAAAGTGTTGAAGATTTTTTCTAAGTTTTCTGCTTGCAGCTCACCTCCCATTCTCTTCAACTAAAAATATTTCTGTAAAAAGCAATTCTAATTAGTAAAATTTCAATAACATTATTGAATTATATACTACATCCGTTTTATAAAGCTATTCCCTCATGATGTAGCTTCACATGCCAAGGGAAGTGATAAAAGTGAGGTCAATGGGCCCTTTGTTTACATGAGAGAGAAGCTGCCTATAAACAATGTGGGGAAGTGGGTCCCATGGGGTGGCCTAAGCTGTATTCAACTTTTTGGTGATCTAAAGCATGTAATATGTTTAGGTAAATACTGTCTTGGCAAGCTGAGCAGAATAGTATTTTGTTGTGCATATGCTTGAACATCTGGGCTTGATTTTTTGTGTGTTCTATTCCAATATTTTTTCAAGCTTAGGAAATAGCCCTATATTTTTTGAAGCTTGGAAAATCCTCATCGGAGCTTCTCTCTCCTGCTTTTTAATTCACTGGATACTACAATTTTGGGAAATCCTCATTTGTAGCTCTATGTTTTCTGCATTTATATCTGATAGCCCAAAATTGTATGATAACCTAATAACAATTGGGTGTTCCTATATTAACAAAGTGACGTTAAAGATGAATTTTTGGCTAATAAATGGTACAAATATTATGCTTCCCTTTATACTTTTGAAGAACAAATAATACCGTACCTTGACCAACACCATGTCCATCTCAATAACAAGCCTCTCCCTCCTACCCTACGAGCAACAATACCGATTTGCAACCACAAATGGCCATCATTTGTGGCCTTCACACATGTTACCCTTGACCAACATTGATCATCACCCTAACACTCTCACCAACATCATTAATAACCACCTGCATAATTGATTCCCCATCACATCAACCGCCACACCTAAACCCATTTATTGAAACCCAACATCACCACCCTGTTAAGCCCAAGCACTGTAATTCAGAATAAATTCACTGCAAACCACCCAATGTGCCTTCACTAGTTCACTACCTCATCATTTTACAGACAAATCATCACTATTGTTGTTTTATTTAATCATCAGTAGCATTGCATGTTTCTTAATTAAATTTCCTTGATTTTATGGCTACTATATGAAAAGTGCAAAACCATTGAACTTCCTGTTAGAATTTTCCATAATTTTAATTTGTAATATCCAGTTTATATAATTATAAATGTCGTTTAGATGCTGTGTTATCTATGATATATGTAATAATCATTGATTTTTTAAAATTTTAAATTCTAGGCACTGTAGCGGGAAAGGATGTGGAAGAAGTTATCATCCTCCATGTTCATTGAACCCCGAGGAAAATATATATCTTTCAAATTGGTACTGTTCTGACTGCACTAAGAAACAGTTGACCCTTGGTGTTCATTCTGTGTCTGAAGGCATAGAATCAATTTTGGATGTTAGAGAAGTGGATGTGTCAAATACTGAAGGTACTGATAAATTGATCTCATTTTGGGACAAACTTGGTGTAATGGGTACCGTATTGTATTCATAGTGGTAGCATTACCATCAAAAGTGAACAAAAGACTATAAGTATTGCTTCGTTGGCCTTCAGTCTTGCACTGCTTATTTTGAAAGTTAAAAAAAAAGGAACAAGCAACTATTATATGTACCTGCTACTTTTTTTATTATTGCATATATTATGAAGATGACAGATGCTTCACATGATAGTGTGTTGTTCCAGGTAGACAGAAACAAAAGCAGTGCTTTGTCAAATTTAAAGGTCTTGCTCATACTCATAATCGCTGGGTACCAGAATTACTGTTGGTTCATGAAGCCTCAGAACTTCACGCAAAGCTTGGCAAAGAGAAAGAGGTATACTAAACATCTCTTAGCTGTTTGCAGCCAATGTTGGTGCCTTGTGAATCAAAGTTGGCTGTGCATGTGCGTAGAAGCTTCTCCTTATGAGTCATGCCTCTGGTTTAATGTAACATGCTTCTTTCTCTCTAGGACTCGCAGTGGAATCCAGCTTTGGCTGTACCTCATCGTTTACTGCAGAGAAGATCAGTAATTGTCGATGATAAGCCAATTGATCAGGAAATTAGTCTTGAATCAAAGAGCCAGCACGAATGGCTGGTGAAATGGTGCGGTCTTGATTATGATCTAGCGACATGGGAACCTGAGGATTTGTCTTTTTTTAAGAAACCTGAAACTCAACGATTGATTGAAGAATGTGAAACACGTCATAACAAAGCCCGGAACCCACCATTATCTGGAAATAATGAGGTTTGTTATTTATGCGGCTTCATATCTAGATGTGTCTCTACCAATTTGTATGTTGTTGAAGACTTATGAACAATTAGTAGTTTTTTCCATATACAATTATGTATTGGTTCCTCTTAATAAAGGGAAGTGCCATTCTTAGAGGAGGGGGAGGTAGAGTGAGTTTGATAAGATGCATAAATCCTTGTGGCACTTATTAATTTTAATAATCCTTTTCTTATCCCCCTTTTATACGTTACAATTTTATTTCTAGTTATGCATGACTGTTGTTATATGATTTACAGCATACTCAATATTCTCATCTACTGTTTTTTCTTGTGTGCTTTGGGACTTGTTCTATCCTTCTTTGGTTTCAATTTTCTTGATTTCGCGACCAGTTGTTTCTCTTGCTAATGGGACATCAGTTTTCATATTTGGTTTTGTCTATTAATGATTTGTAGGCTCAGGAAAAGAGAAAGGATTCGCATGTCAATAAGCTTCGTGAGTATCACCATAAGGGGCATAATGCTGTTCTACTAGATGAACAGGTATGCCTTTATTTCTATCATGTCTGCTGCTTCTTGATTTCTTACATTTACATTGCTTTGCTTGGTGATTGATATGATAATGTCGTTGATGCGTTGCACCTTGTTTTGTTGTACTGTTACTAACCACGACAATCTTTCTGTTATGTTTGGGCACACATATTAAGTTTTATAGTTGGGTAAGGTTTTTGGTAAGTAGTGGAGGAATTAGTATATAAAAGTAATGATTGGAAGATAGCTACTGAGTGAGAGGGCCTACATCACATGGCATAGAGAAAGAGAGCTGATAGGAAGGTCCATCACGCATATGTTGAGTGTGTTAGGTTTCCATTTTAAGTAACTGGAATATTTTTTGTGGACATTTAAAAAGGGAATATAAGAAGATTTTTTTGTTGACGGAGGAAATATAAATATGAATTTCGAGGGGTAATTTATTAAATTGATCTTTATACTAGGACAGAGTTACCTTGTTAGCTCCCCCCCCCCTTTTAATTTGTCTATATTTTTTCTTCTAGTTTAATGGCTCGACTTAGGTTTAAAGGGCACAACTTGGCGCAAAAGTCCTTGAAGCCTAGGCGAAAGGCTAGGTGCACTCAACTTGTATGGTATTATATTTTATTTTTGTAAAATAATTCATAAAAAAAGAATTCTGAGAAAAGGTGAACGGGCTTGTGATCAATCACTAGGGTTCTTCAAATGGAAGTAGGGGATGTGAGGTTTCTCTCTTCATTAGTCCTCCATTCGTTTTGTAATAATTGCAACTAGGGGTGAGCAAAACAGGTACCCTGTTTAAATTCCTGGAACCAGAACCGGTTGGAGCAGGTTCCTCAAAATTGGAACTGGAACCGGAACCCTAACCCTAACCCCGTTCACAAGGCTCCTTGAAATTGGGAACTGTTTCGGTTCCAATTCAGGGTACCCTATCTTGTAATATACATACTAACTATTTGTAGATTTTTTTAACAAAAAACTGGTTGGTTACTAATTTATAATGTTTACAACTCGCTAATAAAACAAGTAGTTGTCTAACAGATTTAATACATATATTATAATGGTAATTTGTTAATTAAAAAATAAGTTAGAATTGGTATATAATTAAAAACTAAGTTATACTTTTATCTAGTTACAGGGTACCCTAATAGGTTCTCCATTTTGCTATCTGGAACCGAACCTCTTGTACAGGTTCCAGTTTCAGAACCCGCGGTTTCTACCAGGTTTCGGTGATTCAGGGTACCCTGAATTTTTGCTCACCTCTAATTGCAACACTAGGAAGGGCACAAAGTTTCAAAAAATAATTGGGTGGGGACCAAATGGAAATATTAAAATACAAAGTATTGTTAGTGGAGATTTATTTAATTGTTAGTAGGAGAGAGAGATAATATAAAAGTGTTGTAAGTGGGGTTGGTTGGAGAGAGAAATAATAAAATATTGGTGGATCTTACCAAATAGGGAAGTGTTGCAATTGTTATGAAACAGATGAAAAAGGAAAGTGTTGCGATTATTATGAAGCAAGGGAGTATAGAAGTAAATCTTATTTTTGCAAAGTTAGCTATTGATGCAACATAAGGTGCAAAGGCTGAAGTGGTCACCTAGAAAAAAGCACATAGGTTTGCATCTTTTGTAGGTATTTGTGTCTTGCAGAGCTAAGGCGCCAGCTCTCCTGCCTAACCGTGCCTATACGTGTGTAAAATTAAGGTTCCTGGTCTTCCAAACATTCTTTGATAATGGTTAAATTTTCTTGATAATGTCGGTTGATGCGATCAGACTCCCGACACGTCAGACTGGCAAAACCATGTTGAATTATTGACATTTCTGAGTATTGTTGGACATAGACTGAAATACTTGATAAATTTTCAGCATACTTTTTTTTTTCTTTGTGGCTATTTGCTCCATACCTCAATTGGTTTTTATTTTTCTAATTTTTATTTTTTTATTTTTTATTTTTTTTATTTTTTTGGTTTTTTATTATTTTTTTTTTTGACAAAACAGTGCTTGTTTAATCTTTTGATTTAGGCCCTGTTGTTAGTGGTAACTGTTGGTTAATATGGCTGGGATAATTGGAGAAGCATCCAAGCCAAGTGGGCATCTAATTTCATAACGTGCCTGTTTGAGTTTTTCTTACGTTTGTGGTACTTATCAAAGAGTTTAGGTATGATTGAAGTAAGTTTTTGTAGATATAGGTGCTGAACAGCTATGATGCTTGGAGTCTTGGTACTAGATGTATTAGGGAGTTGCAAGCAACTAAATGGAAACACTTATTTATTTATTTAAATTCACTAATTATACTTGGTTTTATTCATTTTTTCTTTCAGACTAGGGTTTGTATTAATAAAGTCTGTATTTTAAAATTGATCTCTCTATTTGCATGAAATTGAGATGGACATATGGGCTTTTCCTTGTTTGATGGTCTCTGGTATGCAAATCAATTTTCCATGTTCGACTCTTGGAAGTTGTTTCTGTATTCGAGTGTTTAGCTGAAAAAAATATGTTGATTTTGCTATCAGAATTTGGAGGACTGCTAGTCCTTGTACTATGTGGTTTAATGATTTTTATTTATAAAATCCATTTTGAGCAGCAATCTTATTATCATTCCAAAAATAAAGGATTTTAATGAGTAGGTTTGAGCTCTTTTTAAAGTGTGGATGCCAAATTGCATTTGTGTCAATTTAAAACTGCAGCTACCTGAATGTAATGTATAAGCTAGTATCAAAGTTGCTTTGCTTAATTATTATAAAGATTGTTAGGTTTTGGATGAAGAACCTTCCATGACTCGTGATATATTAGAGGCAGAATAAAAGGACTTGACTGCCGTGATAATTGATTAGTCCTATTAGATCAGGACAAAGTTAAGATTACCTTGCCCTCAAAAAAAAGTTAGGAATACCTTAGAGATTGCTGCATTTGGAGCACATATTCTCTTTAAGATAGTTGTCTTCCTTGACTGGGCATTTGCGTACTCACCTTTTCTGCACATTATTCCATTGTATTTTGAACCTTACTATTCTTTATTTGTCATCTTTTGAACTGGGTTTTTTTGTGCAACAACTCATTTTACAGGGTTCTGAATATTGAATCTCTCTTTGCGTCGACAACGTGTCATTATTTGGCTAATTTGTTTATCTTGAATTTTCTTGTGTTTACTTTGGTCCTTTGATTATTTCCCTTTAGGACCCGCTAGGGTGGGATGGGGATGAATTTCGGACTCGCCGCAGGGATGGAGACGAAATGTTAGTTGGGGATGGGGATGGGAAGGCCAACATCCGCCCCTTCCCATTTATATCCCTATTTAGGAGAGTGTTATCTTCCCTTGCAAAGTAATCATTAGTTTTATTTTTCTTTATTAATTTTTTTTTTATGTAATAATCTTAATTAAATATGAGGAGAAAAAGGAACGTTGGCTGTAATGAAACATTATATCTTTCTTTAGTTGTTTGTTAAACATTGCAATTGCCCTCCTTTGGTAATTATTACTTTAACCTATTGTGCTTTACTGCTATTATTAATTTTACTCTCTTTTTTTGGTTGGGGAAGGGGATGGGGTGTGTGTTTGAGGCCTTTGAGTTATCCATAGAGCATTTTAATGGATATATGTTCAACCTGGACCCATGAATTTAGATTCTGAAATACAATTTTAATTTGTAATTTTTTTGAACCTGAGCCTGTGATGTTTTGGCTGATTGCTATTTGCCTAATTGCATTCTTTTTTCTAGATCTCCAAATTTCCGCTGTTTCTGTATTCTTCTTACCAAGTGAAGGGTCTGTTTCTTACTTTTTTGTTTTGGTTGAATGGGTTTTTGCAGGATAGATTTGTGAAAGTAATCCATTTTGTTTCTTCCTTAGTGACACAAGGTTCTCGGCCATTTCTCATCATATGTCCTAATGCATCTCTGCCATCCTGGGAGGCTGAGTTTTTGCACTTAGCAGCATCTATCAATGTTGTGGTTTATGGTGGAAATGCAGATGCACGTCATATCATAAGAAGTCTGGAGTTTTATGTAGATGGTGGTCAAGTATTGCTTCAAGTACTTCTATCTAGTGCTGAAGCTATTGCTGAGGTATGTGTATTTGAATAATAAGATAAAATTGTTTGTACTCTTCCAGGAGTTCAAGACTGAACCAAGAAGGCATTTGTAGGTCTAGTTTTTTTTTTAAAAAATAATTGGTCTTTTTATTTCATTTTACATATATTTGTTACAGGGAAACATCATGTATTTTTTATATTTATTTTACCTTCTGGATCTCATGATTATGGGCATATTTGCTATGGCCCTCTTTATCATGATATATATTTTTTTATTTTTTATAAAAGTTTATGGCTCCTTGGTGTAATGTTTTGTTTGGATTCTAACAGATATCTTTGACTTGTTTATAATTTCTTGTATAATGATAATTGATTTTCAGTCTCTTTCCTAGAGCACCTTATCCTCTTGTTGTACTTAAAGTTTGGGCTGTGCAGTTATATTGATTTAGTTTCCTTATAAAAAGATGGGAATACCCTTTTGATTATGTAGCTTTTAGGAGTTGGCTTTTGTGCAAATTGATAGTGCTTGTTGTGTTTATGTGCCTATTCCCATTTAAAATGTAAAATCTGGATGAGTTCAAGCTACTTTCAGTTTTGGTGCGATTCACTTAATGTGTTCTGCTTTTAATTTTGCCTCTGATTTAATCAAATTTGCAGCAATTGCAATACACTTTTAAGTAGGGGTGTGATTCTCACCTCCTTGTTTTAATTCTGTTTACGAGACATTAATTCTATGGGAAACCTTAGCCTTATTTTGAATGTTTTATTTGCTTAACTGTGTAATTTCAGTGGGCCGGTATGTCCATTATCTATAATATATCAAAAGCACATGCATTGTTGTGCTGTGTTATTCGATTAATTTACTGTATTTGCTGCTTGATTGACGCTGTTTCGTGAGTTTTTTAAAATTCTTGTTATTGGTGCTGTATCGTGAAAGAAGGCAAGGTATGTAATTTGGAATATTTGGATTTAACTTTGAGATTTAAATTTTGTATAAAGTCAAACAGTTAGTTTTTGGGCAAAAGGGTGGGTAGTAAGTATAAATACACAAATGACTTCACAAGTCAGATCAAATAATTGTTTGGAGTACTTCATTAATGTTGCTGTTGTAAAATCATTTGCATTAATTTTTATACTTGTGTATTTGTAAAAGTTGACACGTATATAATTATATATATTGTTTTAAAATGGAGGAGTAAAAGAGTGGTCGTTTTGGTGGATGATAAACATCGTAGCTCTACTTGGATGAACAAATTTTTGATATATTTTTTTTTCCATTGATGTTGGTCGGCAAACCTAATGAACTGTGACTTTCTTGGGGGCTCTTGATCTCTGTTGTTTTGGGTTTGCATTTTGCTGTTTGCTCCTCTGCTTTAGTAGTCTAGTGGGATTAGTTGCATATTTTAAATCATTTGAAGATGAATCTGGGAATACTACAGTAGGGGTGAGGAAGAAGATGATGGAAGACATGGATTATTTTTTGGTCAATTGAGGATTTCTAAAATTTTTGACCAGACAAAGTTCCATCTATTGAGCAAAGTGTTCAGCCATAAGTTTTTAGAATTTTCATTTGGAGCTTCTACTTCTCCCCTCTCCGGAATCTATATTTTGTTCTTTTGGGCTTGTAGAGAAGCTGAAACATCATACATTTTATTCTTCTTTCGGCCTAACTTCTTTCTCACAAGCTCAGAACTTTCAAAAAGATAACAGCTCCTAAATTCTACAGTTAATATTTTGTTGATAGTAAATACCCTAGTGTATGTTGAGAGAATAGGACTTTTTTTTTTTGAACAAGAGAGAATAGGACTTTGCGGTGAGGATATTTATTTATTTTTATAATTTTTTACATAGGTGTGTTGTTGAGAATAAATCAATTTTAAGTTGGTTCTTTTTCAAGGGATTTTTCTATAAATAAATTTGATGTATGCTGGTGTTATTTTTTATTTATAAAAATTTGTTTATTTTTATTTTACTTTACTCCCTCCATCCCATAATTATATGCTTGTATTCCATTTTGGGTGTCCCAAAATGTTATGCCTATTAGATAATCTTTCCATTTTTAGACTATACTTTTAGATAGAATACCCTCATCTCCCTTTCTAATGACTTAATTATCCTCATTTTTTTTCTGAGTTGGCATTGAGTCATTGATACTTGTGCCATCTCCCTTGGTTTTAATGCTGACATTATTATTTCAACAGTCTTATTTCTCTCTCTCTCTTAATTTCTTTGGAAACTTCATCTTCAACCTTGGTTATGCTCTTTCTCTCTCTCCGTTTCTTGCAATTTCGTCTGTGTTGCACTTAAAATTTTAATTTTCTTGCTTTAATTGGTCCCTTTTACAAAACCCCTCAACTAATTTCACCTTATGCTGGCTATTTAAAATTAGATCTGGAAAAAAAATAGAGCAATGTTCATTTTCTCTGTCTAAAAATTTCAGATATGATTCTTTAGGGGTAGATAAAAAGAAATTGCAGAGCAAAATTGAGGGAGAATCGGAGAATTTTGGATTATTGATTGATTGTTTTGTTTGGGTGGGTAACTATATGTTTTCTACTTGGACATAGCTGAAGCTTTTGAATGGAGAGAGAAGATGAAGGTGGGGGTATAGTACAGGGGTTAAAATTAAGAAAATGTGTTTGCCGGGAGGTGGTTAGGGGGTGTTGATGGGTGGCCAAATGTGGAAGTATGGACGGAGATGACTTGGTATAGTAAAGAGGATGCCATTGTTGTTAATCTAGAGGGAGAAAGTAAAGTTTTGGTGAGGGATTATTACTAGAAGTAAGAGAGGAGAGAGATAAATGACAGCTTTCCTTTACATTTTCTGATTTTTTCTATGTTTATTGCATTATTGAATGACAACCCACATGATGGTTGTACTTCCAATGATAAACTTTAAGGAATCTCTCAGTGAAAATTGAGAAATAGTCATGTAAATATGGGACGGACAGAGTATTTATTTGCAGAGTTATCTATTACACCATGGGATGTGTGCATCGTAGAAAAGATTATATTCACTTACCCCAAAAAAAAAAAAAAAAAGAAAAGAAAGAAAAGGTTATATTTATGTTGTCAAGCATTGAAATATACGAAGTAGATGCCAACAGAAATTACTATGGCTTTATTACGTATGATCCTCTTGAACATTTTTTGGTTTCAAATTAACATGATTTGATGTAATGGTGCTTCTATTATTATGTGTTTTTTCTCTGTACTTTTTAGGTTTGAATTGTTGTTATGTTCTATCATGTAGCTTAATGGGGTTTGTTCTAAACATACTGATGATGTGCAGGATGTTGAAGAACTGAAAGGCATTCGCTGGGAAGCTGTTATTATTGATGACTCCCAACAGTCCTGTATTTTGACTCATTCTGGTTGTATCAATGATTTGGATACTGGATGGAGATTACTTCTTATGAATGCCCATTTAAGGGTAAGATTACTTTCATCATAAAGTGTTTTTAATTTTATCAAACATGTCCTGATAGCAGTGTTGAATGTGCAGGATAGCATAACTGATTATTTAAACATCTTGTCCTTGCTGGATCCTGTTGGTGCCAATCAAGATCTTAAACTACTTTCTAACTCCAATGCTGACATTAAAGCATTGAAAGATAGATTGTCCTCTTTCATTATTTGTGCAAGATTTATTGAATATTGGGTACCAGTGGAGATCTCAAATATTCAGCTTGAACGGTATTGCTATTCTATGCTGTCAGAATTCTCTGCCCTTCGCACATTTTGGAAGAGTGATCCTGTGGGCTCCCTCCGTGATATTATAATTTCGTTACGAAAGGTATTTTCTCTTAAGAGTTCATGAAAAAGTCAAGGATGTTAATATACTCTCTTACCTTCTCACTTCTGATGCTCTTTATGTTTTTATAGTGCTGTGACCATCCTTATATTGTGGATTGGCAATTGCAAGAATCCCTAACCAAAGATCTTCTCCCGGATGCTAGGATGAATGTGGATATCCGAGCTAGTGGCAAGCTACATTTTCTTGAAAATCTTCTCTCTGAGTTAAAGGAGCGAAAATTGAAAGTTCTTATCCTGTTCCAGGTACTTAGTTTTAATATTTAAATGAAGTTCTCCTTGGCTACAAATTACACTGTTGAAAATTGGATTCGTTGTCCCTTTATGTTTACTTTTGTCATCTTTGTTAGGGTCAAAGGTAATCTTGATATGAATTTTTCATAATACAGACAAGACTCAAAACTAGTATCTTCAAACATGCTTTGCTAGTCTTGCTTTAATACAGTCTTCGGCTATTCTGATTTCATTAAATTCATATTAATGTTTACTTTTGCAAATATCATTTTTTTTTTCATTTTTTTTTGTCATGGAATTAAAGATATTTAGAGAGAAGCTAACACAAATAAAACTATATGGTAAGATATAATCTAATCTCGTCTCTAATATGATCATTTGTGAAATACTTTCATTTTTTTTTTTTTTAAAATTTGCAACGTTTTTATAGTGTACACTATTTACATACTCCATTTAAGTTACATTTTTGAATTTATACCAAAAGAAATCTATAGTCATACAAGGTCTTGTTAGATTCGTCTCAATGTGTACTTTATTTAAATTTAATTTTTATAAATTTTAATAATCAATCAAAGCCTATCGGTTACATGAACCAAAAAATATTTCTGTTTTTAGTTACTAACATACACTAAATCAGATTTTATGAAGTGAATAATCTTAATAAACAATGATTCTCACCAAATTTTATTTACCCCAACCAACCCAATTTAATTCATCTACTCTTCATTTTCCCAATTTAATTAACAATAAGATATTTTATCAACATCTTCATCTTCCCCCATATCTTTCTCTCTCCTCTTACAATCCCATTTTCTCTTTTCATCTTCTTTCAAATCTTCTTTATGTTCAACCTCCACAAAATTGAACCCGATGGTAATACTAGGCCGTATTTTTCGTGGTGTTTCCGTTGGGTTCGTGAGGGTGGTTTCTGGGTTTGTAGGGTGGGTGTCAGTAAGTTGGAAGGGTTTTTCGGAGAGGGTGGGGGGGGGTGGTTTTTGGGTGTTTCTAGGTGTATGGGGGTGCTTTTGTAGGTTTTTGGGTTGTGGTTTCCGTGGGTTTTTGGGTTTGTGGGCTGGTTTTGTAGGTTTTAGGGTTTGTGGTTTTTGTGGGTTTCTAGGTTTTTGTGGGGTGGTTTTTCGTGGGGATGTTTTTTGTGGGTTCATAACATGGGTTCATTTCATGGGGGGGGGGGTTTCTGGGTTTTTTAGGGTGGTTCTCGTGGGTTTGTGGGGGGTTGTTTTCGAGGGTGTGTAGTACGGTAGCTTGGGTGGGTGGGTGGGTGATAAGGTGGTTTAATTGTTGGTGATGTTATGGATTAGATTTCACTCAACACTAATTAAGCTAAATGCATATAATTTAGAAGGCAAAGCTTGAGGATTAATTGATTAATGGTCGAATTACAAAGTAAGGGGGATAAGTATAGCTTTAGGCTATAAATCTCATAGTAGCTTGAGGCTAAAAGTCTCACAAAAGCTCACTCGAATTTCTGGATGATTTATACTTCTAACATACTACAATATTTATACTCAAAGCTTCTAATGACCATAGTCAGCCCTAAATTGAATACATGTGACTTGTTAACTAATTTAGAAAAACCATCAGTAGACTGTTGAATTTGATTGCTTTCCTTCTTTAACTTCTCTTTAATTAACTTTGTCTTGTTGCAAAGAATTGCTTCCTGCTGCTGCCTCATGCTTTTGACCCCTGCTGTCCCCTTTTCTTGCGCCTCGTGTACACCAATAAAGGTGGTTTCCTTGGGCTATTGACCCCATTACCCAATCCATATCTGGTTAATTAGGCATCCTCTTGATTACTTACCCTCACTCCCAAAGATACACGGAACGCGGGACGGCAGCACGATCCGCGCACCTGGTCGTGTGTCCCGAAACGCGGAACGGACTCGTTCCGGTTCATGGTGGTTTGCGATCTGGAACGTCATTGATGGAGTACCCATTTATGGGTGTAACAACCTTCTATTTTTTTGAGCAGCAACTGTATTTTGTTTGAAATTTCAAGTTTATGGGAAGTATTTAATAGTTACATTAATGGAGGGAGATGAAGAATTGATAAAGGGAAGAAGATGACGGCTGACAAGTCACATGCAAACCTAACCTAATGAAAAAAAGAAGTTGTGGACCCTTCTTTTTATCTTTTTTTTTTTTATTATTTTAAATTTTTTATAATGTTTATAGGCAAGTTGGCATCTATTAGTGTGTACAGCTATAATGTTACTTTTTTTAAAATTTGGCTGTCTCATTGGGAAGGATGGCATGGATAATTGTGTAGTCAACTAGTCATAATACAAATTAATTCCTTTTTTTTTAAGGAAATCACATATTAATATTGGTTCTAGTAAACGTTACTCTTATAAAATTTACTAATTATAAAATTAAAAGTCAACCCTAAAAATAACCTAACGTTCCGGGAACTTCAGACCCCACGTACCCCGTTTCCGTACCACGTTCCGTGTAACATTGCTCACTCCTTCAGTTTATTAGTGTTAGCCCTCAAAGTTGCAAATAACAATTAACGCAAGTTGGAAATGGATGCAAGTAAAAATGTGCTTAAATAAGTTGAATTGAATATAGTCTCACTAGTGATATATGAAGTAGTGCTCTTATGAAGTTACCCATGGATAAGTTGTGTTTTTCTTCCTCTGTCCTAAGGGACAATTTTTAAATGATGGAAAATTTAACCATCTGATACTTGTATGTAATTTTCTTCATAAAGTTGTCTTGTATCTAGTATGCTTACATGCTTTAATTTTTAATTTTATTCAGTCCTTGATTTGCCTTTATTGATGTATACTGTCTTCTTATCTATGTGGTTTGATTTGACAATTGACAGTCAACTGGTGGTACTGCAAGGGATGCTACCTCAGTTGTTCTTGAAGATTTTCTTGGGAGATTTGGTTCAGATTCTTATGAAGCTGTTACAAGTTGCGTTATCCCTTCCAAGAAGCTGGCCGCTTGCAACCAGTTCAACAGATTAAGAGAGAGATCCTTCTTTTTACTGGAGACACGAGTTTGTAGTCCAGCCATTAAACTTTCGACAGTAGATGCTGTTATTTTATTTGACAGTGACTGGAATCTTCATAATGACCTAAAGGCACTTCAAAAAATCACAATAGATTCAAAGCTTGAATTGATTAAAGTCTTTCGGTTGTATTGCCCATTTACTGTTGAAGAGAAAGTTCTTATCCTTGCCAAGAATGATTTGATCCTTGATAGCACTCTGCAGGGTACTAGTCCAAGTACTAGGCACATGCTTCTGATGTGGGGCTCCTCAAATTTGTTTTCAAGGCTAGATGAGTTTCATCGGGATAAAATTCTGGACTACAGAGACAATATTGTTTTCAGATCTTCATTTATGATTGATGTTAGTAAAGAGATCGTTTCTCTAATTCAAGATTGTAATAATATTTACTCAAGTAAATATATATCAGTAGCACGACAAAATGGTGGATGTTATCTCAAATGTATACCCTTGGTTGGAGAGCAGAAAATTCAGCAAGAAGAAGTTCCACCACCTGAGTTTTGGACTAAGTTATTGGAAGGAAAGCAGCCTCAGTGGAAGTATCTTACAAGCTCATCTCAGAGACACAGGAAGCGTGTCCATTATTCTGAGGAGTCTCCTTCAGAAGTTCATAGTGATGAAGTAGCAAAGAGGCGCAAGAAAATGGATGGTACTAAGATTGATTCTCCTTCCCAGCAAACTGAGCCAAGGCTAGAGAAACAAGATTCTGGGAGCAAGGAGCATCAAGGTATAGTTCAGTTATTTCTATGGTGGCCTTTGTAGGTTTTATTACTCGTTTAATCTATATTATTGATTCATAATGCATTAAATTTTGGATAACCCTAGTAACTAATTTAGTATCCAGTGTAAACAATGTCACAAGCTTTTGTTTATTTATTTTCATATAAATGCTGATACAACCTTGTTTGTCATAATCAATTGTAACCTGAAACTATATCTATTACAGAGTCTGGTGATGTAGAGAATCTGCATAACCAGCTGGGGGATCTTTTTGAAATATTGAAGCCAACTCTATTAGACCTTTGTGAAGCTCTGCTACTTGAGGTATGCTTTTAGTACGGAGTCGAGAAAATGGTGCATGTGTTGTGGGTATTTTTTATAATGCTTTGATATTATGTGTGGCTGTTTAATGAGAAGTATTCTCTTGCATAATTTTCTGTGGGATACTGGGATATCTTGATTAGATATTGCAAAACATGTTTTCTTTTCATATGCCTTTTGTTAATGCTCTGCCCTACTAATTATTATGTAATACTTCCTCTGTTCCCCAATTATTGCAACATGGGGATGGGATGCGGATTTTAAGAAGAGGAGGGAAATAGAGAGGAATAAAGATAGAGACCCATGTGATTAGGAGAGAGAAAGAGAGAAAGCATGTGTAAATAGGGAAATGTTGCAATATTTGTGAAACCTCCTAAAATGGTAATTGTTGCAACATTTGTGAAATGGAGAAAATAGGTGATTTGGGTGTGCTATATCATCTTGTTAAGGGTATCAAGGTATGTTATGTTGGGATCAATCATGGAATGAGATAATCAGGACAAAAGTAGGGGTTACCAGTTGAGAATAAGATAGAGAAGTATTGTCTAAGATGGTTTGGACATTTTGCAGTCTTTGGGGCTATTGACTGAGAGAAAAATTTCAGATACCAAGAGAGATACCTGAGTATTTTCTCTGAGAGGGGTTTGATTACTAGTTGTAGTCTTTGGGGCTAATGACTGGAGACTTGGCAACTTGACCTTTTTTATGATGTTTTTGAAAAGCCTGTGCTGCCTTTTTCCTTTTCTACTGTGTCCGTAAAACATTTCCATTTGATGAGTTGTAGTGCAATAGTTGGTGTTTTTTACCAATTGGTCCAGCTTATTGTTTTTGAAGAATATGTTAAGCGGATAAAATTTGAGAGATATATAATCATGATTTGCCTTTATGTAAGTGTAAGCTCATCACGGACATCAGCGATTTCTCGAGTTGGTCATTCTTTCTTCCATTGTCATAGTCCACAACCGGAAGCTAAACTAGTAAAAGTCCTTATACCTTAAAATATGCTTTATGCCCTGGAGGTGGTGTGTTTGGCTAGGTAACATAATGGAAATGCGCTTCGGGAGGAGGGGGGATCTGGTTAGCGTAGATCTTTGAATCAAACATTGAATTAAATAGCTTTTTTTTGTTTTTCGTTCCAAATTAGTTGATACGTTTCTTTTATCACGTGTCCCAACGCATAAACTCAATCGAATATATCTTTAATTATACTATTGTAAAAAATTCTTAAACTTGTATTTTAATTCACATTTCTATTTTTACATATCTATAATTCACAAATTTATTCAAAGTAAATTATATGAGTAGTGTCAAAAGTCAAAATATTCAACTAATTTGGAACAAGGGATAGATATCAAACTTTGAATTGGATAGAATAGACAAAAAGGATTTCAATTGTTTAGAGGTTATCTGCAGTGACTATACAATTATGTTAACTTTAAATGATGTACAGATTGTGAGACTTAACCTAGTAATGATAGTGTGATTGGAATTTGAACTTTGTGCAGGATAATGTGAAAAGATTGGCTGAGGAATTTCTCGAGTATCTGGTGAAAAATTATCGAGTCACAAGAGAGCCCGAGACTACATTACAAGCTTTCTTACTCTCAGTGGTATGTAGTGCCTCGTTTTTTTTTCTATAATCTATTATTTTAATGGTATGGAGTACCCTAATGAATCAGCACCTCTCACAAGTCAATATAGTCCAGCTTTGCACGTCAGACTCATTGGGAGGGAGAGAGGCGGGGGGGGGGGGGGGTTGTATAAGGGAATCCTCATCCCTAAAGAGTCCCTAGTGGGCTGTAATCCTCCTTGTCTATATGCTGTGGGATTTTTCTTTTAATCCCGTCCCTATCCTTGGATTATGTTTTATATTCTTTATTTTCCTTGAATTGGGTGGCCAAAATAGAATGAGATTATTTTATGCCATTTTGCCATGTTTGATTATTTTTATTTATACAACCCTTGTTCATTTATGTATTGAATGAAAATGTACCTAGGGTTTGCCTTGCCATTTGATTTCCAAATTATTCAAGTTATCATATTTCTTTATCTTCCCAAATAGCACCAGGGGAACTTTTTAGTGTTGCATTCTTTTTGATGGAGTATTGTTTGGTTGTGTTATGTATATTTACAAAGAGCATTTATGCATCCTTCATGGAAATTTACATGAAATCTTTGCCAAGGAAATAGCAATACAAGATCAATTCACATATATGATTATAGGGTGCAACAATTAAAAAGCAAAAAGCTTCGTATATTTAGAATAATTTATTGTAGTCATGTGTTGCTCTTTGTCATTCAAGAGAAGTTTGGTGTAGTCGCATCCATAGATATGTGGTCCTCCAAAATTGTTAAGCTGCTTTTGTAAATTTTCTTGTGTTGTTTTTGTTTTCCTAGAATGATTCTGTTTTCTTTTGCTCACTTTGATTTGCTGTCTTTTATAGTGTTGGACTGCAGCTGAGGAACTAAAGAACAAAATTGATCACAAAAAGTCACTTACCATTGCCAGAGAGAGGTTGGGCTTTAATTGCTTAGAACGTGACACTGAGAAAATAATTTCAAGGTTGAAGCCAATAATGGATAATTTTATTTGTTTGAGAACGAAAAATTCCAAGTCGGAAGGAAATTTTGTTGAATCACCACTAGGCAACATGAATAATGCAACTGTAGAGCTTGAGGAACATATGAAGAAGTTTGAAATGAAATCTGGCAGGCAAATGGAGAAGCTAAAAAATAAACACTATGAAGAACTTGAGAAATTTGAAAAATCCTGGGAGGATTTGACGATGAAGCTAGAAAAGTGGTGTAAAGCAGAGTCAACCACTATTCGTTATACTCACGCTAATTCTGCAATTAGAATTGATAAGTTGAAGGCCTTGGATAATGATTATGCTAAGAAAAGGGAAGAGCTAGAAAAGCAAAAATCCATCAAACTTAAAGAGCTTGAAGCTAGGCAAAAGGTTGAAAAGGATTCAGAAGAGAAGAAGCTAGCTGGGTATGTGAAACGACTTAACTCCTTGGGGTGCCATAGGCTTTTGGAAGAACCTGATGGTAAGAGTAGAGTAAATTCTGAAGTTGCTGAACCAATTGGACCAAATGAAGAATCAAATGGAACTGTGGGTATCAATGGGAACCTCTCAAAGCAGCAAAGTTTCAAGGCAAAAGCAATAGCGTCTGTACTTGCTGAAAATCTGGAGAATACAGATGAGCAGAGAGTGAGTTGCTCAAGTGATGATTTTGTAGCATCCATAGAGAATATACCAGCGTCTAAGGGACCTATTGGACTAGATAAAGAATCAAATGGAACTGGAGGTATCAATGGAAATTTCCCAAAGCAGAAAAATCCTGAGGGAGAAGCAATAGTTTCTGTGCTAGCTGAAAATCTGGAGAATACAGATGAACAGATAGAAAATTGTGGGAATGATGATGCGATAACTGGTATAGAGAGCGTACCAGCATCTAATGGGCCTGATACTAGTACATGTTCACCTGAACAGCCTTCTGCTCCTACTGGACAAATTAAGAAATATACCACTCAAATAGATGACGTGATAGTAGATAGGTTGACTGCTGTAGAAAGCAACCCAAATAATGGATCCAGTACAACAGGGCCATTGCTCTCTCCAATTGGTTCATTCACGGAGCACCCAAATGCTGTTGAGAGTCAGGTTTGCTTTATCCTCTGTCCCCCCCACCCCTTTTTTTGTTTTTGTTTTTGTTTTTGTTTTGTTTTGGAGGGGTTTGGGGTAGATCGGGTGGTGTGTTAATTTCGGCATCCTCTCATTTCTACTCCAACCTTTTGCTGTTCTACTTTCTGTTCCCTTCTTCGATATTTTGAATTATCTGAGCTCTGTCACAATATGTTCTGCCTAGGTGCCTTGGTCAGTCATTTATGCTGTGTATTTTGGACTTGGGTTTCACCTAGCACAAAGGGCTGTATTTCTCAGATTATTTAGGACCACTTCATAAGTATCTTTTTAAATGATTTAAGAAGAATTTAATTGGTAAGTAACAACTGAGAAAAAAAAAAAAAAAAACATTCTGAGTAATTGTTAGCAGAGCACCCTTGACAAAATGGCAATGGTGTTTTCATCTCTCTTCTACGTGGGGTAGAAGGGAGACTGAAAACACACTCCATTTGCTGTTGTGATTTTTTTGTCTATTATTGATTTTGGTCTGGTGAGAGATCACTGGTTTGTCCCAAAATGTGATTGTGTGGGCTATTGGCTACTATCTATTCTCCTTTCCTTTATATTATCTCATATTCACTTCTCTTACTGCTGTTACCTGGTTAGGGGCTTGGAGATGAATCTCATATTGGAGTGGGAGAACAAGTAGGACCTGCTACCAGGACACATACTGCGCCTTTAGGTGATACACCATCTTTAAATTGTCCCAATCATGTGCCATCTGACCTTTTGCATAATGAAGAAGCACGCTGTTCTACCGAGGCTTCATTCAATGAGTGGGTTACACATTACAATGATCAGTTGGGAGTTGCTCCTAATAGGCTTGATAGTCAGCCAATTGGAAATCATACATCTATTGTGGGTACCACAACCCCAAGGCATCAAGATCAAATGGGAGTGGCTCCAAATGGTAGGCTTGATATGCCAATAGTAAATCATGGATCTATTGTGGATACCACAATTCCAAGGCAACAAGATCAAAATAGGGGCCGTGTTTTAGGTGAACCTGTTTCACAGCCTTTTTCACAGATGCCTGTTCATGTTGTTCCTGCAAATTTTTTCATCCCGTATGAAACTAATGCACCAGTAGCAAGAGGAGCTGTCCCTGCACATTCCGACCATGCAAATCGAGTGCAAATGCCTACTAACTCTTTGTTTACGACACCCAACCATTTTGATCCACTTCAATTTGAAGTAGATAGAATACGTAGAGAGATGGGTAATTTGATGACCATTCATGAGCAAAAGGTTAGTGCATGCTTGCCTTCGTTTTCTTTTCCATTTTTTTACTATGTCTGCCTTTCTTAATTATTTTTCCCCACCGGGCCTTGCAGAAGTCACAACTGAAATCAGAATGTGATAAAGAAATTGAGGAACTTGTTGCTCAAATTAAGAGAAACTATGACAAGAAGATTGATGAAGCTGAGGCAGCATTTTCACTTAAAAGGAAGGAACTTGAAACATGTCAGAACAAGGTCGTGATGCATAAGATGCTGGCTGAGGCTTTTCGATCTAAATGCACCGACTATAAGGCAGCTACAAAGATGCCACAGCTAGGTATTTATTTTTTGGCTTTACAAATGACATTTGTTTAATTTAGGGTCGAATGAGAAGCCCCTCTTAAAAATATAATTATAAAAAAAAAAAAAAAAAAAAAAAAGGAAAGAGAGAGAGTATGAAAGGCTTGATTGAGAGGACACCTTACTCATGATAACAAATCTACTTAGATCCCTACATAATCTTGTTTTTTTTTAATTGTTTTGTTTTCCTTTTTCCCTTGTTTGTGCTGTCAATGTTTGAAGAATTTTGACCCAAAATTTTGATGTTAAAGTCGAAAGTACAGATGATATTGAGGTGGCAGTATTACTTTTTAGTTATACTTGCCTGATTTTATTAAGAGCTGCTTCATAGTTGATTTCATTGTTGTCTGCTTCTCACAATAATTGATATTACAGGTAACTCTTCTAGTTCTGTAGAGATTGCCTCGCAATTACATTCTACAAGACCTTTCTCTCCTGCTACGTCTCCTTCCAGTGTTCCACCTAGTGCTACACCACCTTTACAGGCTATTCGTCCCTCTATGACCTTAAGTGCTCAAGCCAGAATTTCTCATGTCGATCCTGTAGCACTAACGGCAGGACAACAGCAACAAATTAGGCGTGAAGCACTTGCCCCAGCCCCTCATATACAGCCCTTCAGATCTGCTTCATCTGCTATTTCTTCCAGCTGTATGCCTTCTGATGCGTTGGTGCCACAGCCACCTAACAATCCAACTTCTGACTTAGCACAGAAGCTCCCACCACAGCCACCTCCGCTGTCAGCACCAGTACAGCTAAACTCTCGTGGTCAGTCTCGCCAAGAAGAATCAATGGGAAGGGGTACACCACTTAGCTTATCCTTGAGTGCAACACAGTTGCTAATGGATATTACAAGGCGACATGATGCAAATCTTCGTTCTAACAACGTACCCTCATTGCCAAGTAATGTGCGAAGTTCTGACACATCCCGATTTGAGGAAGCAACAAATGTGCAACTTTCTTCGTCTAATTTACAAAATGGAGATGTGGTCTGTTTATCTGATGATGATTAATTATTGTGACATTCTAGGTTCCCTAACCTTCAATTTGTTGTAACTCTTAGATCCTATTTTCAGCTTGGGATTAAGAATTATAGTAGTCTGGGTCTGCAAGTTGTATACAGTCCACTGTTATTGTAGCTATAGGTTAGCAGCTAATGTAACTAATTGCGATTAATTTGAAATGAAATAGGTTTCAAAAAAATATTGTGCAAGACGTACCGTGTTCGTGCTAGTGTTCTAGCTTTTGGAATATACTTCGTATTTTGTTAATTTGGGTTTTGGGAGTGCAACTCATTAGAGGTATGTATAAAATGTATACAACCTTAAAAACTCCCCAAAATGGAAAAAAAAATGGGTCTGAACAAGAATGTACAACTATAATATCCAAATTGATCCAATATGAACTACATGTAAAATTATGTTTCATCTGAGAACGAAATATAATTGTTAGTCATTTTGAAAATGAATTATTTTGAAAATGAAATACGTAGTACAGTATATGAAGTCGGAATACTTGAATTTCACAATTATGTATCATAATTGAAATTTGTTTTCAGGAAACACTTACCTTTTTATTTGTTTGGTATGAATATTAAAAATAAGGTGGAAAGAAAGCATAAAAGGAGGAAAAGAATTATTTAACTCTTACCTTTTTAATTTGTTTGGTTTAATCATAGAAAAGTATCACTTAACTTGACAATCAAAATCAATTTCTCAGGAGATTAAAAAAACCCTAGCCTCCTCTCTCTCTTCTCTCTCCTAAACTCTAGCCTCCATTGTTAATTTTAAAGGGGCTTTTATCGGATTTCACCGGTAGAAAGCCCCAATCTTTATTTTCTTTTAAGCTTTTTGATTCTTAGATTACAATAATAATGTCTCCCTCGAAAGAAAGAGTCTATCTCCTTCGAAAGACAAAGTTTTTTCTATCTCTTTCGAAAGACAAGGTTTTTCAGACTCCTTTGAAAGACAAGGTTTTATTTGTGTTTAATTTGGTCTCCGTTTGTGTGGGGCTACGATTGATTATGGCTCGAATTCGGGTTACGGAATCAGCACAAGAATTAACTTTCTCACAAAATTGCAAAGCGACGACGGATCCACTCAAAAAGTTGTATGAGACAACGAATCGAGAATGTGCCGAATTGTTATATTTATGTATTTGGATTCTTAGCCCTTCCCCGATTAATTCTTGTTTGATTTTGATAAATTCGTTTTCATTATTGTAATTGCCAATTGTAGATGTCGTATGACTTTATTTAATTAAATTTAATGTCCTTTATGACTTCTTTCACAAAGAAAAAAAAATTAAAAAATTGAAAAAAAAGAAAAGAAAAGTATCACTCAACTTAACTTCATTTTCCCTTGGGTAATGGTAATTATTATCCAAATCTTTTACCCAAACACTTGGTAATAGTAATGCTTTATCTATAACAGCATAACTAATACTCAAGTAATAACCGCCAAAATCATTATTGTCCATGTGTTCCCTTCACTAATGTTTGAAAATGATTTATTAATTATATATTTTTCTATAATCTTTTATGAAAAAATTGACTAAGTACACAATTTCCTACGTACTAAAATATTTGACTGTTGGTCTCTTTCTCGATCTTTTTTTCCTCCTACATAGATTTTTTTTTGTCCATGTGGTTGTAGAGTTTGGATTGTCCATGTGGATGTAGAATTTGGATTTTCCACTCTTTATCATTCTTCAAATTTTATATAATTAATCAAAAACGAATGCTCACACTTTAAAAATTTTGTTAAAGTTATGAATTTATTTAGTATATTTAACATCACGTCCTTCATTTTAGCTCAATTAATATTTAAAAGGGATTACAATTTATTGTGTTTTGCTTTAAACATTTTTATTACACACTTACAATTATATTTTTTAGTCTTAAATCGTGCATCAAACGTGACTAACCTAGTTAATTGAAAATGTTTACAACCCAACAAATAATGTTACTCATCATGCTCTTATTGTAGTTGGAAGTATTCTTATTGTTGAAAAAAATTCTTCCACTTCGTAAATATTTACCAGCAAGCCTCAGTTTCTCAATTGAGAAACATGAGATGTTGATGAGAATGACATAAATGTAAATAAGGGTACATTTATCAATATTTTATATTTTTTTGTTCAATTAACATCGTTAACTTCCCATCCACCTTCACTCTTCTTCTTCTCCCTCTTCCTACATCAAACTCCATTGAAAAAGGTTGAGATTTGTCCATCGACACCATCGTTTTTAACATTTCCAACAACTTTGCCTCCACCGACATGTCCACCACTATTTATGGTAGCTTCGCTAACAAATTAAACGAAAACCTTAAGAAGAATAGTCCCTCGTCTAGGGTTTCAAGGTGTGACGAGTCCTTCGCCTAGGGCTTTGTCTAGACTAGTTTTCTTGTTTCTCAGTGAATTTCAATCAATTTTCATGCCTTTTCAACCGATTATCTTTGCTTGCTCTTTGAAACCATAAGCTGATCTATTATGGAAGATAGTTTATTGAAAGATTGGGAGAATTCCGCTTGACTGGGGATGAGGAGGCAATAGTGGGGAAGGAGTTTGAAGTGCAACTGATGAAGACACTAAATCACAATTTTCTCTCTCGCTCCTTGGTTAATGCTCACAGGTAAGCCTTTAAATTTTTTAGGCTATGAAGAAAACTCTAACTTCAATCTATTGCTTGCATAATCTTGTGGCTAGAAGCTCGTTTGGTTGAATGTAGAAATTGCAAATTCCTTGGAAAATTGATTTCCCATGAAATTGAACTTCCAAGGAAATTCTAAAAATTGTTTGGTTAACTAAGGGAAGTGGAAATTCCCATGGGAAGTTTCACTTACCTAGGTCCCCCTAGGTAATTAGCTTCCCCCATTTTGTGGGAAATGGAAATTCATGGGAATTTCTACTTCCCATGAATTTGTTAACCAAACAACTTCAAAAAATTTCAATTCATAGGATTTCTAAATTCCCATGTTTTTTTTTGGCAACCAAACAACCCCTAGAATGATTGAGACAAACATGTTTGCTTTTCAATTCTTTTGTATGGAGGATAAGGAGAGTATTTTAGAGGGGTGCCCTTGGTCTTTTGATAATCAAAATTTATGCCTTAAAGAGATACACCCTAACCAACAACCTTCAGATATCCGATTCACCCATACATCTTTTTGGGTGAGGCTCCTAGAGGTCCCTTTTGGCAGAAGAAACCCTTCCTTTGCTTATGAAATTGGCGAGAGCCTTGGAGGATATCTTGATTATGACAGTGCTGATGCTTTGGGCTGGGACAAATTCATGAGGATAAAGGTTATGATTGATATTCGAAAAACCCTTGCGGAGAGGAGTCAGACTAGCCATGGGGAAGGGTACATCAACGTGGTTAGACACTAAATATGAGCGCCTTGGAGACTTTTTCTATTATTGAGGCAGACTTGGTCACACTGATCGTAATTGCCAATTTCAAAAGGAGACAGTTGAAGAGGGTACAATAGTTGTGTACCAATATGGTCCTTGGCTAGTGGCCTCACCTCATAAGAGGCCAAAACAATCGATTATGGAGAAGGAGAAGGACAGTAAATGGTTTGAGAAACTCACTGCAAAAAAGAAGATTCGCTTTCCTAGTTATAATGACTCGAGTGTTGTCAGACTCGGGCCACCAAGATCTTCTAGGAAGCTAATTTTTCAACCTGATCAATCATCACCTAAGGGTGTGAAGTTGAGTGGGCTGGAAGGGATTTATGATGTTGCGACAATGCTTATAGTTTCAGTGCAGGACATGGTCCAAGCCGAGGATAGAAAAAATGTTCTGAGGTTCAAAATGCAATTACACAGGCACACCAATGGAGACACATAGTCTGGTCATGGATGTTGCTCTGGAAAGGAAGGTTGATGCGAACGTGGTTTAATTAGGTAAGAAAGGGGGTTTAAAAGCAAAGTTAAGATCCTGAAGAAACCTTCTCATAATGTGGAAGCTAGTGACTCTAATGTGACCACTCACTTGCAGAAGCGGAAACATGACACGATTGACTCGGTTACTGATACTTCGGAGGATTTATAGGGAAGCCAAATACAATAGCTCCTTTGGGGTTTTCTGATCAGATTGTTGAGGCGGAGGTTGGCAACCCCCGAGTAGTTAATGCACTCCGTAAATGGTGTGCTTCTCTTAATCCTGATATTGTATTTCTTTCGGAAACTAAAATTAATAAAATTGTTGATGAGAATTTAAAATATAGACTGGTTTCTCTTGTTCTTTTGGGGTAAGTAGTATAGGCCTTACTGGTGGCTTGTAGATTTTTTGGAAGATGGAAAATTTGTCTTCTAACCTTGTCTCATACTCCCAAAACCACATAATGGGGATGTGATTTTGTTATCAAGACTCTTTTGGAGTTTCGTTTTATGGCTGGCCGGAGGTCTAGAAATAAACATAAAATCTAGGAACTTGCCAGGACTCTCATTTTCTCGTACCATGGTCCGTTGATGTTCAGTGGTGATTTCAACGAAATTTTGAGTTTTGATGAGAATGGGGGGGGGGGAATGATTGTGATAGACCTGCAATGTATGACTTTATAGAGATGATAAATGATTGTGCTCTCTGCAATCTTGGCTTCATTGGACAGTGGTATACATGGGAGAGAGGACAAACAATTCAAAGTATGGTTCGTGAATGCCTTGATAAATATTTTTGCAATTCTTCTTGGCATGAACTCTTTCCGTCAGCTTCTGTTTTCCATTTGGTGTGCTTCAATTCTGATCACACCAATCTTGTTGACCCTTGAATAAGCAAAGAAGAAGAGAAAGAAACGTCGACGCAGATCCTTAAATTTGAATCTGCATGGCTTTTGGATAACAATTGTGAACAAATTGTCCGTGATTCGTGGGTCAGGTGTGAGGGTGGAGACATGAGAGCAAGATTGCATTTACTTGGTGGGGAGTTAGTCCTCTAAAGTAGGGAAAATTTTAATTACTTGGAGAAGAAAATTGACGACATGGAGAAATCTCTCAAAGATGCTCAAAGCTTGCCCATTTCTGATGACTTAATACAAGAATGCTAAAAAATTGAGAAGGCTCTGGAGGAATTATATAAGAAGCACGAAGCATATTTTTGTACATGCGTTCGAGTGTCGAAAATCAGAGACGGATAAGAATACGAAGTACTTTCATCATACATCATTGCAAAGAAGAAGCAAAAATGAGATTA